AAGTGACTAAGAATTCAAAAGTCCTAAGATACTGGAAATTCCTTTTCTGGACTGAGTTTGGGGAAGCCTGTCAGTGTCTCATGCTGAGCACTTCTCTGGACTAGCCACATCTCCAATGCCTCAGGGTGGCTCTGCCAGGTCTGCAGCCTGCATGGGGCACAAGAAACTGAGGCACACTATAAGGTCCTTGCTGCTTATGTTGTCTCCTTATGGTCTTGTCAACTGGTCCGGTGCCTTCTGTCATGGCGCAACACTGATCTGCTCTCTTTTTGTAATGGGCACCTGACATTCACAAGAGTGTAATCAGGTAATTACAGTCCAACTTCTTTCACTCAGGCTCACTTGTGTTATGGCACAGTTTGTACCTCATTCCTTTTTTTTTTTTCCTCTCCTTTTTATGACTGAATAATGTTCATTGTTTGGATGTACTGTATTGTTCCCATTCATCAGGTATTGGATGTGAGTTGTTCTACTTGTGGCTATGATGGATAGTGAGATCTGACTTTCGTGGGTATTTCATTTCTGTTGGGCTTGTACCTGTGGTCCTGCTCCATGCTCAACTTTTTAAAAAGCTATTAAATCTTGCATTTATCTACAGTATTGTATTCCATAGTTTGGGCAGTTTTTTGTTTGGTCTTCTTTTTTGCTTTACAGTATTGAATATCAAACCCAGGGCTCTTAGCATGCTAGATGAGTACGCTGGCTGCATTCATGCTGCCCTTGGGAAATGCATGTCTTCGATGAAAGAACTCCCTTTACCTGTGCTTCTGTGTCTTCACTTTTGCCCCTTGGGCTCCTTTCTGTTGCAGCTTCATTTGGCTGGTGATTGGATTTTGCCTTTTCTTTCCCCCTTTTTTTATCCCCCATCTTTTGAGACAGGGTCTCCCTAGAGCCCCAGCTGGGGCCTGGAACTCACTATGTGGACCAGGCTGGCATTGAACTTACAGAGATCCGCCTGTCTCTGCCTCCCGAGTGCTGGGATCAAAGGCATGCACCACCACGCCCGGCTAAAATAAATCTTTTTAAAAAACAACTCACTACATGTTTATGCATGAAGGCCCTGTTGGCTCTGGATAAATCACAGTGTACTTCCCCATTGTGTGTCACTCTTCCTGTGTGCGTATAATAGTGCCTATCCCTTAGCTGAGGCAAGCTGAGCTATGGATGCATACTTTTCCCTCCGTAGTATGAATGCACTGGAGCCTAAGCTAGTGGCTTTCCTATGGTCCAGTGGTATCACTGCATACAGAAGCTGGCCTACTCATTTCCTGTTCTGGCAACTACATCAGCATCCTGCTGTCCGTCCAGGGCCAGAGAAGGCTCCCAGGCCTAAGAGTTGAGGCTCCTTCTCAACAGCCAGCAGACATGATGGGCTTTTCTGTGTTGGCCTTGCTCTGATGGTATCCTATCCCCACAGTGGTGGTATCATTCCTAATTCCACTCCTTGGCTTCACTTCCACTATGTGGGTTCAGGGGATCTAACTCAGGTTGTCAGGTTTGGTGGCATACCTGCTAAACTACCTTTTTTTTTTTTTTTTAATTCCTGGAAGAGGCAGATTGCTTACTTTATTGCATCCCAGAAAGAAACTAAGACAGATCAGAGAGAAGAAAGAACGGGATCACTCTTGGTCTGTCTCTGCCTCATTTTTTCCTTCTATATCTCTTTATTTCTGTCTTCCCTCTCCTGGTCTCTGTTTCTCACCTGACATTTGAGGATCGTCCTCCCTGAGAATCTCCCTGTCTGGGCAGGAGTAGGAAAGGTGTGGGCAGCCAGAATTTCAGGGAGCCTGAGCTTGTTCCTGCTGGAGGAGTGCTTATCAAGCAGGAGAGGCTAAGCATGACCCCTGCCAGAGGGGTCCATAATGGAGGCAGTACCAGGCTGGGATAAGGGGCTTCAGAGGACATTGAAGATAGGGAACAGGCATAGTGGACTCTGGTAAGGGGCATCTGTGTCTGGAGCTTGTGATATTCATTGAGTCTCCTCTAATGGGGTGGAGACTTCCCCTTTAATGACTGGAGCCAGGGTGTGGGACTTGAAGTTTAGTGCAATATCCACCCTTGGCTCTGCCTCCTGACATAGTGGGTCTGTGCTGTCTGCTGTTACAAGCTCCCACCCTAGGAGGGCAGGCATGGGTCATCACTGTCCTGGCAGGAAAGAAAACCAGAAAAACAAAATTTCAAGGGGAAGAGAGTAAAGAGACTGCAACTGACAGGCATATAGGACATGCACACTCTGGAATGACATACTAACCAACCCCATGCTGAGAGACGTGTATAAACATACATACTCACGAGGTACACAGTTGATAGGAACATGGATCACAGCCAGACGAAGCCTCCATCTACTCCCCATACCCAGAGTGCTGAGTTAGTCTTCACACTTTAGTTGAAACCCCCACCCTAAGGTGCAGAGGTCAGCTGGAAAACACCCAGCAGGGCTTATGACCTATGGCTGTTCCCGTACAGGGCCTAGAGAACTTGGCTATGCTCAACAAGGCAAGGCAGGCTGTGAAAATCGTCTTTTCCCTGCTGTGACTGCTCCATACATGTCAGGCCAGAGATTCCCCAAGGGACTTGAGGTTTACAGAGAATACATCTTTTCAGTGCTGAACCTGGTAAAAATCTACTGAGCTATAGAGAGTCCCTAAAGCCTTTACTGCCTATTTGAAAAATAATGACTTGTGTTAAAGTACAGGACTGGACTGAGTGTGTGGCTCTGTTGGTAGAGTGCGTGCCCAGCATCCGCAAGGCCTTGGGTTCAGTCCCCTGCACCCTAAAAAAATACGCATGGTAGTGGCTGCCTGTAATCCCAGCACACAGGAAGTGGAGGCAGGAGGATCTGGAGTTCAAGGTCATCCTCTCCCTACATAGTTCAAGTTCAGCCGGAGATACATGGGACCCTATTCAAAAAAGAAAAGGGAAAGATGGACTGGTGAGATGACTCAGTAGTTAAGAACACTTGCTCCTCTTCCAGAGGGCCTGAGCTTACTTCCTAGCACCCATGTCGGGTAGCTCACTCCCTCCTGTAATTCCAGCTCCATGGGATCTGATATCCTTTTCTGGCCTCCTCAGGTACCCACACTCATGTGGCATATACTCACACAGACATATATACATGAAAATAATAAAAAAAAATTTAAAAAGAAAAAGATAATCCCGGACTTGTATCTCAAATGACTAGACTTGGGATTCCTATTGGCAGACCTCGCCCCCAGATCTTCCTGGGTATTCCTCCATATTTCTGCCACCCTTTGGTGGTAACTGGTCTTCTCAGCTGCTCAGGGTGGACCCTTTATATCCAAGCCATCAGCAAATCTGATTGGCTTAGCCTTCAAGATGAATCCAGAATCCTGTCCTTTCTATCACCACCACCTCTGCCACCTGTCGCAAGCCGCCTCCTCTGCCACCAGGACCTTTCTGTCTCATGTCTTCACAATCTGCTCTTTGACAGTTGATGTGCAGCCAGCACAGTTCAAGGGAGGCCATCCTGCCCCTTTTAAGTAAACTCTCAGAATACTCACAAGAGCCCCTATCCCCTTTCCAGCTCATCTGGTATGCTTATTTCTTCGTGACTCACCAGTCCTCCCCCCACTGGAGCATCCACTAGGCAGGGTAGGCAGTAATGTGTGTTCTTTGAGCAAGCTGCTGTATCTATCTCCAGGGAAATGTCTGGCATGTTGAATGAGCTGATGTAGCCATCCCAGGTGACAGGCAGAGCAGAGGTCTTGCCAGCCCAGTTCTTCCAGAGTTTATACTCTGTTTCTAAAGCTTTTTTTCTGTTTCCTTAAAGGCTGCACTGAAGTCCTGATTGTGAAGTTCTTTATTATTGAATCAGAGTTGTATCCAAGTTAAAATGTTCCTCACTCTGCAACTTTTCACAGGCAGCTTGAAAAGGAAGTCCTGAGAGAGGCAAGCCAGGCTTCCACTCCTGCTCTACCAGCCTGGCTTGCCTGCCCTGAGCCTGATCGCCACCTTCCATCACTATGGTTCTTGCTGTGTGCCCTGGCTCTGCCACTAGGCCCAGCCCCTCGTTGGCTTTTTGGTCTTCTCTACCTGTGGGACCCTTTAAAGATCTCTCTTAACTGAATATTCTTCCCAGTGCTTTCACATGAATAGCTCAAGGCCGTGTGATTTCAGAGCTGAGGTGGTTCCAAAAGCTTCTGTCCTGGCTAGCCTGATAGATTTGGCTCGGAGGACACTTTGATGGTTGTTGGTCTCTGAAAATGGGTCTCTGCCTTGGTATCTGTTGGTAGATTAAAAAAAATCCCACGTGGTAGATTAATGAGCTCATGCATCTCCTGTTCTTCCTACAAGTTGAATTCCAAATTCCAGGTTCAAGTACTCAGATTTGAGGTATAAGAAAACACCAGAAGTGGGTCCTAGCAGGCAGAGTTCTGGCCACATGTGAGAATCATCTTGGTGGACTGTACTAGGCACCTGCATAGCCTCCAGCAGAGTGGAAGTAATGTCACCCTTAGGGTCATGTGACCTAACCCCAGAAAGCTGCTTCTGAGCAGCACTCAGCCCCTCTGTCCCCACAGAACTGCCTGACAGATTAGCCTTACCCCACTGCCCTTCAACCCTGCTTCTCAACCCCTCAATTCAGCAGGTATTATCATCTTCACAGTAGTGAAGGAAACAGCTTAACCCTGCTGGGAGAAAGAGTCAAGTCTTCTGTGTAGTTGCCAGCCATGCAGGCGCAGCCCTGCTCCCCCTCAGAGCCACACTGCCTTCATGTCCCTGCTGCTCTCTACCTCATTCTGTCTGCACCTTCTCTCACTTACTAAATCCCAGTGCCAGGACTCCTGATGGGGGTTGGGGGCAGGGGCCAGACTTCTGTGGGCACTGCAGAGGTTCTGAAGAGGATCTCACCACAGAGCGTTTAGGTTTTGTGGCTGTTGTAGAGACAGCACACTGCAGCAACATGTAGATCTCCACCCAAAGACCATCAAGCCACTAAAGGAAGCAAGTTGCTCACTGTCCCATCCTTTCATCCTCAGAGCCTCCCAAGATGAACCCAGTGGTGGAGCCGCTGTCCTGGATGCTGGGCACCTGGCTGTCAGACCCTCCAGGAGCCGGGACCTTTCCAACACTGCAGCCCTTCCAGTACCTGGAGGAGGTGCACATCTCCCATGTGGGCCAGCCTATGCTCAACTTCTCGTAAGTCCCCACCTGGCTCATGGGACGCCTAGGTCTGCACATAACTTCAAATTGAGCAAAGACAAATGCCAAGAGGAAGATGCAAAAGTAGCTTTTGATCTGCCTCGGAAAAGCACTTCCTTCCTTCCCAGGACCTGGCAGCTGAAGCACAGGGTGGGTGAAATGGGACTTTAAGATGTCAGGCAGTCCACAAGTTTACAGGCGTGTTGATCCAAGCAGAAAAAAAAAGTATATGTGTTTAATTAAACCTCTAGTGTCGGTCTATTCTGTGTGGAAATCAGTCATCCAGGGTAAAAAATAAGATGTGGCTTGCTTTTACATTTGCCTCTGAACTAGCTGAAGGTTCAGTCAAGCTATTAATATTGTGGTTCTCAGAATCTTTCCATACAATAAACCGAAAACCCTGTAAGGTCCTTCCCTATGTCTATATGTGTGTGCACAGGCACACAAACAGACACACACAAATAGGAAATAGTGCTACTTTTAAGGAGACAGAGTTGGGTAGGATGACTGAAATGTAATTACAAAGGTAATACATAATGTTTTAAAAATTCTTAGGGTAAAGCATAGCTCAATGATAGGGTCCTTGCTTAGCATGTACAAGACTCTGGGTTCATTCCCTAACACCTCAGAAAGGCCAAATAATAAAGAAATACAGAAACTAAAAAGTAAAATTCTATCCCTGTTTCAGTCTCCACTCCAGAGTTCTGTGTTAAGAATCTTACTAAATCGGGGCTGGAGAGATGGCCCCGCAGTTAAGAGTACTGACTGCTCTTGGAGAGGACCTGGGTTCAATTCCCAGCACCCACATGGCGGCTACAAACCATCCCTAACTCCAGTTCCAGGGGAATCCAACACCCTCCTCTGACCTCTGCAGCATTGCATGACACAGGTGCATTCATATACATGTAGGCAATATACTCATACACATAAAAAATAATAAATTAAATATATATATATGTTAAATATATATATATTTTTTCTTTTAAATAATCTAGCCAGGCATGGTGGTGCACGCCTGTAGTCCCAGCACTTGGGAGGCAGAGGCAGGCCGATTTCTGCGAGTTCAAGGCCAGCCTAGTCTACATAGTGAGTTCTAAGACAGCTGGGGCTACAGGGTGACCCTGTTTCAAAAAGACGAAAAAAAAAAAAAAGAAAAGAATCTTACTAAATCATCTTATTGGTACAGGTTGAGTATCCCTTACCTGAAATGCCTGTAGAATTGTTTCAGATCCAGAGATTTTTGGTCTGAGGATATTAGCATAGACTGTACTGGGGGAACATCCCTAATATACAAATCCAAATCCAAATTCTCTATAATTCAAAACTTGTTGAGCACTAATATGATGTCATTTTGGGTTTTGGATTTTCAGATCAGGATACCTGAATTTGTTTTGTTATCGTTACTGTTTTCATTTGTTTTGTTTTGTTTGAGAAAGCACATCATGAGCCGGGTGTGGTGGTGCATGCCTTTAGATCCCAGTGCTCAGGAAGCAGAGGTAGGTAGATCTCTTGTGAGTTCAAGGACATCCTGGTCTACATAGCTAGTTCCAGGCCAACTGGGGCTACAGGGAGATCCTGTCTCAAAAAGACCAAAAATAGAGTATCCCCAAACTGAAACTCACTGTATATCCTAGACTGACCTCAAACTCACAATCCTCTTGCCTCAGCTACCACAGTACTAGTGTTATAGGCATGTACCACCATGCCTAGCAATATTACTTTGCCCTTATTTATTTAATTAAACATAATACAAAATGATATAAGATGATACATTTTAAAACAAGATTGTCTGATTGTGGAGACACATGCCTACAGTTTCAGTGTTCTGGAGGCTAAGGCAGGAGAATCTTGAGTTCCAGGTTTGCCTCAGCTACTCAGCGAGACACCTCCCTATAAATAAATTAATTAAATAAGTAAGAGAAAGAATGAAGGAAAAAGAAAGGAAAGAGAGAGAGAGAGAGAGAGAGAGAGGGAGAGAGAGAGAGAGAGAAAGGAAAGAAAGAAAGAAAGAAAGAAGAAAAGCCAGCCAGGCATGGTGGCAGATACCTTTAATTCCAGCACTTGGGAGGCAAAGGACAGATCTCTGTGAGTTTGAGGCCAGCCTAGTCAGGGCTACAAAGTGAGACCCTGTCTCAGAACTAAAAGATAGCTTTGCACATAAACCAAAACCTAGAAATTCTGAGTACTACAGAATAATCTAGAATAGCTGAATTAGATGGCTCATACCTACAGTCCCAGCACTTTCTAGGCAGAAACAGGAGGATCAGAAGTTCAAGACCTGCCTGGGCTACATAAGAAGACTCTGTCTCAAAATTTAAAAAGTAAAGAGAGCATGTCCTGGGTTCAATTCCCAGCACTAGGAAAAAAAACAAAACAAAACATGTAAATGGGGCTGGCAAGATGGCTCAGCGATTAAGAATACTGACTGCTCTTGCAGAGGACCTGGGTTTGGTTCCCAGCATCCACATGGTGGCTAACAACTGTCCTTAACTCCAGTTCCAGGGGATCCAATGCCCTCTTTTGGCCTCTGTGGCATTGCACAACACAGAAGCACTTATATCCATGCAGGCAAAACAGTCATACATATAAAATAAAAATAAATGCCAGGTGTGGTAGTACATGCCTTTAGTCTTGATAGGGTAGGGTTCTGTGTGACTGCCTGCAATGTTTACAGATGTGCCTAGAACTGCAGACCTGAGGTGCAAGAGCTGAAAAGGCCTCTGAGAAAGGATACTCCATATTGTTGAGATGTTCTTGAGTGTAGCTAGTGCTACGTGTTTGAGGCCTTGGGTTCAATCCCAGCACCGTACACACTCATAAAGAATAATTTCCTGTCCTTAAGAGTTGATCAACTGGCAAAATGAACAAAGAAGTGGAAGGGTAGTGACAAGATTCAATGTATGGGTTAAAAGCTGGAGGAGCCACTTTTGGTCAGATTAGATTATACCCCTGCAAACATATGGCTAATGCCCCTTCCACAGTGTTTTTTACATTGCTCTGTGAACTTCTCCTGGAGAGACATGAGCTATTCACCCCAGATAGGGCATCAACCAAAATCAAGATTCTACCAAGATCTAACTTGGTGAACCTGTGAGTTTTGGGGGCTTACTTAGAAAACATGGGTAAGGGTTACATAGAGGAATGTGAGTGACCCCCAAACAGCTGTATCACCATAGTCTTACCCTGTCATGAATGGCGTCCTCATAGAGGCTACAGCATGGAGTTCCCTTATAGTTAACCTTCTATTTCCTATACAGTCTACCATCTCCCAAGACCACTTGCAGCCGTTGGATTGGCAGGAGAGGGTACTGGATGGGATCCCTGGTGCAGGTCCTGTGCTGAGTGTTGGCAGCTCCCTTACCATGTGGCTATCACCATATTATTCTGCATATTTTGTTGCCATGGCTACTGAGTCAAGGAAATCTCTGCCTCAAGATGCCAATAGGATGATCATGTTGTACCTGAAGGAAAAGGCTATCTTACAACATTCTACCCCTTTCCCTTATTTCTGACATTCTTTCACCCCCTTTCTGTAAAGTTCCTTTAGCCTTAGAAGGGTAATATGTATATGATCCTTTTTTAAACATTGGTCCACCATATCACTTTAACAGTCACTTATTCTCAGCAGTTTAGCCAATTAAGTCTCTCCACCTTACCACCTCACACACTGTGAGGTCTGCTTCCAAGGCCAATAGCATTTGTTCTCTGTGGGCATAAACAGATGTTTAGAAGGCCGTTTGGTAGGCACATATATCAGTTTAACGAAACAAAATCCATCCCGAGGCTTGTAGCCTTTCCAGTCACAGATTTTGCTGATCTACAGTACCAAATGTGAATTCTCTTCTGTAGAAATCCAGAAAGTTACTGGTTGTACTAGTAACAGTTATGCACCAACAGACACATCTTGCCTAGCAGTCTGACAGTGCAGCACTCAGGAGCTGCAGGCTAGCAGGACTGTGGGTGACAGTTCTTCCCAGCTGAGTCCCAGCTTGATTTCTGCATGGCCTGTACCCAGAGCCTGCAGTGTCCTCAGAGTAGCTTCCTGCCTTCGAGTTCTGCAGTGTAGCTAACAGTAGTGCCAGTAGTTATCATCTGAGGACTCCCTAACCAGCAAGCAGCTCTCAACAGGTAACCCAGTTCTCACACTAGGATTTTCATTCTAATGCCCTTATAGCATCGAAGCCATGCAGTATACTTTCTTTTAGGCTCTAACTTTTATTTTTTTAACATTTTATTTATTATTTTTATTTTATATGTGTGTGTATATTGCCTGCATGTGTGTATGTGCACCCGTGTTGTACAATACCCACAGAGTTCAAAAGAGGGCATTGGATCCCCTGGAACTGGAGTTACAGACAGTAGTTAGCCACCATGTGGATGCTGGGAATTAAACCTGGGTCCTCTGCAAGAGCAGTCAGTGCTCTTAACCGCTGAGCCATCTCCCCAGCCCTATAACTTCTTTTTTAACTTTTTTTTTCCAAATCCTTTTTCTTTTTTTTTTTTTCTCCTTTTCTCTTTTTTGAGACAGGGTCTCCTGTAGTCATAGCTGGCCTGGATTTGCTATGGAGACCAGACTGTCCTCAAACTCACAGAGATCCACTTGGCTCTGCCTCCCAAGAACTGGGATCAAAGGCACGAGCCACCACACCCAGCTCCAAATACTTTTCTAAATCTATAAAACATTCAAAGGTTAGCTTTATACCACTCATGTAATGAAACCATTTTTAGAGCATGGGCAGGATATCTCAAGACCCACAGCCAAGCAAGTGCCAGTTGACCTCAGGAGTCAGCAACTAAAAGGGAGATAACAACAGACAAATTTTCAAAAGATCCAATATAGCATGAAAACACTTTCTCCCTCGTATCAGTTGTTTCTTTAAAAGAGCACGTTGGGTGTGGTGGCATGGATAGGAGGCCTTAGGTAGCATTCTAGGACCCATTCTCCATGAACTGTTTTGCCTTCTTATCACTGATCATGGTTGCCATGGGACTGCTGAGCATCTCCCCATTCCTAGTGGGCTGACTCAAGCTGTTCAGCCTAGCCCAGTGCTGAGGGAAACAGGACTATGCTCAAACCTGCTGCTTGTTGGCACCCTGGATCTGACAGACTCTGGACACTCTGGACACAGCCAGTGCTGCTGCTGCTTCCTCAGCTACATGGGCTGCTGAGAGGGTCCAGAGCTGGGCAAGTAGTTTCCACCCCCAACGTAATTTCTTTTTTTATGTATATTTTCATTTTTATTATTTTTATGTGTATGAGTGCATTGCCTACATGTATGTAAGTGCACCGGTGTCATGCAATGCCCACACAGGCCAGAAGAATGCGTCAGATTCCCTGGAACTAGAGTTACACATCATTCTAAGTCACCCAGGTATGCCAAAACTTTTCCTACTTTGTAAAGATCATGCCCACTAATAGGCCCAGCTAAACCTCTAAAGCGCTATACTATTCCCATTCCCCACTGAATCAACTTTTCTTTCTTTTTTAAAACAAAAAATTTTTTGAGACAGGGTCTCCCTGTAGCCCCAGCTGACCTGTAGACCAAGCTGGCCTCAAACTCTCAGTAATCCACCTGCCTCTGCCTCCCAAGTGCTGGGATTAAAGGCATTCACCACCATGCCTGGCTTTATTTTTTTTTTTTTTTTTTTTGGTCTTTTTTGAGACAGGGTCTCCCTGTAGCTCTAGCTGGCCTGGAACTCACAGAGATCAGCCTGCCTCTGCCTCCTAAGTCCTGGAATTAAAGGCGTGTGCCACCACGCCCAGCTTTATTATTTTTATTATAAGGTGTATGAGTATATTGCCTGGATGTATGTAAGTACACCCATGTCATGCAATACCAGTGGAGGTCAGAAGAGGGTGTCAGATCCCCTGGAACTGGAGTTATGTGGATGGTTGTTAGCTGTCATGTGGGTGCTGGGAACCAAATTCATGTCTTCTGCAAGAGGAGCCAGTGCTCTTAACCACTGAGCTACCTCTCCAGCCCTTAACTTCTTCCTTAACCAGTGAACACTGTCCTTTCCAGCTCAAGTGACCTGGCATCTATCATAACCACCTCTTTCATACCTTCCTCTTCTATTACAGACCCTAATATTCATGGAGACCTCAGCTGGCAATAACAGTCCCTAATGGCTCCTATGAGCCAGTCCACCAGGGACTGATTTCCCTCCCATTGTCTCAGGTTATGTAGCCTTTGTCCCAGGGAGGGATGGTTAGTTGTGTTACTGTTTCTCTTCCTCCACAGTACTCAGACTGATCCTATCTGCCCCCATGTCCTACATCCTTAAGAGCCAGGCTATGAGGTTCTTTCACTGATTGTTTACTAGTCCTTCCCAGCTCAAGCAGTTCCCTGGAGGAGTACTCCCCTGATTAATCTTGGTTTCCTGTACCCCGACTCTGCGTGCTGAATCATTAATTTTCCTTCTTTTTTTCCCTCTCTTTACTATCTGATTCTCCCCATGGGATTCAAGTTTTTGACTCTCAGGAGAAATTTTTTAACACAGATCTAATTTTTACTCTTGTGTGTGTCTGTCTGGCAACAAGAAGTAGTCCTCTTTTATCCAGTTTACTTGCTAAATTTGAGACTTAACATGGAGAATGTTTTTATAAGCCAGGTTTTGTTCAACGACCACCTTGACTTCAGTCGCAATTCTTAACATAGTAGCAGTCATGTCACTGCTGCAAGAGTTTCCCATAGTATGTGCTACTTTCCAAGGCTGCACTATATTCTCTAGTCCAGTTGTTTTCAGGTTGGCCTATACTAACATGGTGGACCCCACTCACCAAGAAGGCATGCCACTCCATGCCACATGAAGCAAGATAACCATCCTGAGGATTGCCTCCTACACCACTACAAACACTTCACCTTCACATGGCTCAGTTGCCATAGCAAGAAGGCATACCACATGGAGAAGGAAGGCCGTTATCAGGATGGCCCCTGTGTAGATACTCCATCCTCAGAAAGCTCAGCCTCAGTTGTATGCCTTGCTACCCAAAGGGAAGACTGTAAATTACCACTCCCAAACTGTGATTTCTCTTGTGCCAAATGTTGGGGTACCAATTTGTTGTATGAACTTGTCCTGGGGAAACACCTGTTCACCCCAGATAGGGCGCTAACTACAGACCAAAGGTAAGGACTCCCAGTGAGTTTATTGGACTTATTTACAGATCATGGGTAAGAGGTTATTTATAGGACTGTGGGTGACCCCAAAACAACTGCATCATGCAAGGTCCCACCCCATCATGAATGATGACCTCATAGAGTTCCCGTTTGCATTACTCAGTATACGCTAGCATCTCTCACGATCAGTTGTATCTGGAAGGTGGAGCAGAAGAAAGGAATGGCTAGAATCCTAGGGAAGGTCCTAGGATCCTCCTCTTCTACTAGGATAGTAAAAACTCGTATTGTCACTACAGACCTATCATCACTATACTGTTTTGCTTATTCCATTGCAATGGCTGTTACGCCAAGGTAATCTCAAGGTGGCATGCATCTCTTGACTTCCCATCCAGGTTCAACTCCTTCCATCCAGACACGCACAAGCCAATGCACAGAGAATGTGGCTTCATTCGTCTCAAGCCTGACACCAATAAGGTGGCCTTCATCAGTGCCCAGAACACAGGTATGGTGTCCCCAACCTAGGGCCTGCTGGCCAGTGTTATGACAAGTCATCTCAGATCACCTCTAACTGCGTTCTTGCTCATGGACATGTATTGAAGGGACAGTAAAGACATGGTCCTCCATGGACTAGAGCCATGACTTGCCTTCCTCCGAACATGTCCACAGTCCTTTGATGCTTGCATGCAACCATTTGCTTGTACCCAACCACAAGACCTGACAAAAACAGGCCGACTAGCTACAGGGTCTTTGTATGGAAGTCTGGCAAGCTCATGACTCAGAAACCACTCAACAGCCTGTGTGACCTTGACCCTGCCCAGTATCCTTCCTGTTCAGGATTGACCAGCTTGGAGTGGAGCTGACCCAGTGCCCTGGCATGGAAACAGAAGCCGGAGGCCTGTGTGGCCCTACTTCTGCCCTCAGCATAGGGTGGTCCTTGACCTGAGGATGGTATTACACCTGGCCCATTGAGAAGCGTACTAGGAAAGCTGCAGTTCAGGGCACCTCTGTAAAGAATGACTCACCATTAAGCACCTGCTCTGAACTATAAAAAGCCTTGTGACAAGGCGGGGTGTGGTGGTGCATACTTTTAGTCCCAGTACTTGGGAGGAGGAGGCAGATGAATCTCTGTGAGTTTGGGGCCAGCCTGGTCTATATAGTGAGTGCCAAGCCAGTTGGGCTATAGGGAGATCCTCTCTCAAAGACAAAGAAGAAGAAGAAGAAAAAAAAGCCTTGTGATTAAAAAAGCCAGGTGTGGTAGTGCATACTTATGCTCCCAGCTACCCACCTGTGTTCCCCATTACTCAGAGGGCTGAGGCAGGAGGATTTCTTGACCCCATAAGTTCCATACCAGCCTGAGCAACATAATAAGACTCTTTTTTATGTGTATGAGTGTTTTACCTACACATATGTAAATGTACCCATGTTGTGCAATACCCACAGAGGCCAGAAAAAGACATCAGATCCCCTGGAACTGGAGTTGCAGGTGGTTGTTAGCCCTGCCATGTGGGTCCTTTGGAAGATCAGCCAGTGCTTTTAACCACTGAGCCATCTATCCAGCCCTGAAAGGTGTGGAGATGGTTTAGTTGGTAAAGTGGTTTCTGAACAAGCAGAAAGATCTGAATTTAGATCCCCTTAACTACATAAAAGTGGCACATATCTGTTGGGCTATGAAATAGGTGGATCCCTAAGGCTTGCTAGCCAGTCAGCCAGCCTAGCAAAAGGGTGAGTGCCAGGTTCACTGAGAGATCTTGTCTCACAAAAAATAAGAAGGAAAGCCAGACACCCCAGGTCAGCCTCTGACCTCTGACTCAGGTGAGTATACTTGCACATACATATGTACGTACATACATACATACATGGGGGTGGGGAACAAGTCCTGAATCATTTTGCAAATGAGAAGGGAGAAGCACTATACCTGGATAGTAGCAAAGTTCAACTTTCCCTTGCCTGCTGCAGACAGGGAAGCACAGTGCTTCTGAAGTGGGAGTGGCCTGGAACTGAACTAACTGCCCATCTCTTGCTTGCAGGCATCGTGGAAGTGGAGGAGGGTGAGGTGAACGGACAGGAGTTGTGCATCGCATCTCACTCCATCGCCAAAATCTCCTTTGCCAAGGAGCCCCATGTAGAGCAGGTAAGCTCAGCCTCCCTCTCAGATGTTTCCATAGGGTATTTGCATGGGACAGTGGGGTCACACCATCTGACAGTCTTTTGCCATACAGTTTTCTTAACACTGTTCTTAGCTCTTATTCTTTCCTTCTCACACCCTTTCAGGGTATGAGTGACTCACACTGTAATTACCTGGCCCCTGTATCTTTCAGGTTTGTTGTTTTTCTGTTATGAATATCCCTTTATGTTTGTGGTGTTGAGCTTTGCAAATATACCCAAGTCTATTGGACAAATTTCTCCAAAATTACTGTTCCAACAGATAGGAACATTTTGAATGGGGGATACCAGTAAATTGCTCAACAAATCCACTCCCACTAGCATTGCCTGAGATCACTGGTTCCCACCCTTTTACCTTGGACTCTCCAATCCCATTCTTGTTTTCAGTCTAACTTGTGAGTGAAAGGGCATTTCCTGTGCTCCTTGGCTGCTTTATTTCTTCCTCTGTGTGCTGGATATTCAGTCTTTGCCTGGTTTCCTGTGGGTTATGATTCTGTTGTTGACATGAAGAAGTGGCTATTAATCTGCTGTTTGTCTGAACCTTGGAAAATATGAATTTGCAGCTAGAGTAGGGTAGGAGACGTGGACAGATAAGCAACTGTGGAGGAAAACACTGCCAATATCTGGGCCTCTGCTCCACAGCCTGTAGCCCATACACTTGACCAGAGGTCTGCAGATAATCCCAAGGACATCATCTTTCAATAAAGAACAGAAAAAGTTATAAAGCTCCCAATTCAGTTTATGAGTAATGCTGATACCAAAATGGATGACATGTGAAAAATTATTAAATATATCATGACAAGTAGTAGGAGTTATCTCCCCAAAGCAAACATGACTCAACACTGAAGATATTAATAAAATTCACTGCATTAATAGCTTTAAGTGGGAAAAACATAGAGTCTTCCCAGAAGAGGGTACAAAAGTAAAATCTTTGTGTGTGTGTGTCAAAGATCCTAGCTGGTAGAAAATTACAGACCTGTACCAGTTCAACACAATATACAGAAATTACATGTTTCAGTTGGGTATGGTGGTACATGGCTATAGCCCCAGCTGAGAAAGAAGGATCACTTGAGTCCAGGGGTATCACATCAGCCTGTGAAACACAGTGGGACTCTGCCTCAAAAGAAAGCATCCTCAGAATGAACCATCAATAATCAATTAGAAGAGAAGTGAGGAAAACTAGATTTACATAGCCACAAAAAACTACAAAGCATGTGAGTTTAATCTAGCATGAAGCATGTAAGATGTAGTATATATGTGTGTATATATATATATATTTTAAGTAATTTTAAAAAATTTTATATGTACAAGTGTTTTGATGGCTGACATGTTTACTGGTGTGTATGTAGTGCCTGCGAAAGCCAGAAAAGTGACAGAGCCAGAGCTGCCATGTGAGTGCCAGGAGTCAAACCCAGGTCCTCTGGAAGAAAAGCAGGTGCTCTTAACCCCGAGTCATCTCACCAACCCAGGCCCATATATATAAAAGGAGCTTATCTATTATCACTCCTTTATTTCTAGAAAGATTTATCTCTTATTATTTTTAATTATGTGCATGTATGATTGTATCTGTGAACATGAGTGTAGATGCCCAAGGTTGTAGGCATCTGTTAGATATTCAGGAGGTGGAGTTAGAGACAGTTGTGAGCAACCTGATGTGGGAACTTGGAGCTAAACTCAGGTTTTTTTTGAAAGAGCAATACATATTCTTACCTGGTAAGCCATCTCTCTAGTCCATTTTTTTAAGGTATAGTGAAATGAAATTTTTGCCTCTACTGACAAGGTCCATGAGTCCTGAAGTCAGTGCAGTAGGCTGTTGTGTGGATATATGTGCTATGTCATCTTTCTTTAATTTGTGTATTCAATATAATCTTGAGGTAAAATTATTACTGCTGTACATTTTATGGTGCTAGGGATTGAACACAAGCCCTTACCCATCCTAAGCAGCACTGAACAGAGCTATATGCAGCCCCACTGATGGGAATTTATGGGCCTTGAGAAGCTCAGCTAAAAGGTCATGCAGGGAGTGGTGGTGTACACCACAGTCCCAGAGCTCTGGGATGTGGAGGAGCAGGAGTTCGACAGCTACATGGAAAGATTCCATGTTTATGTGGGCATAACCTCAGATATGCATAGTACTCCAGACCTTGGGGGTAATCTCATAAACCACATGGGACTGAAAGTCACCCAGCAGGGAAATGTTAGAAACGTATAATGAATCACACACAAAAAAATACGAGGAGCTAGAGAGATGGCTCAGTGGTTAAGAGCACTGGCTGCTCTTCTAGAGGACCTGGGTTCAGTTCCCTGCCAGAAGTTCCAGAAAGAGCTGAGGAACACACCCATATAATCCTGTGTTGGAGTAGCAAATAGCCCCATAAGTTTCACTGGTCAATCATCTGGTCATAAAATCACCCCTAGGAAAGCAGGTTCACCTTAAGTTATGCCAAATAGATGGGCGGAATACCTAGTGCATTAATGAAATAGCAGATTTTTCCTACCTGGAATCCCACCTCCTAACACAGAGCTTCTTGACCCATAGACATGTCTCTGTAAGTCTGCCCTCTTCTTCTTCAGATCCCTTTTCTAAACATGCTCTCTTTAAGGCTTTGGGCTGCCCCTAGCATCTTAGATTACTTTCTCTCTTTTATGTGTATGAGTATATTGCCTGCATGTATGTGAGTGCACCCATGTCGTGCAATGCCATGGAGGTCAGAAGAGGGTTTCGGATTCCCCTGGAACTGGAGGGAGTTAAGGATGGTTCGCAGCTGCCATGTGGGTGCTGGGAATGGAACCTGGGTCCTCTGCAAGAGCGGTCAGTGCTCTTAATTGCTGAGCCATCTCTCCAGCCCCATTTCTTTACTTTTTCTAAAGCTTCCTTCTCCCAGCCCTCTGGCTGCCAGTCAGGCATGTGTCTGACCTCCATGCAGGCTCTAAACCTGTACTGCTTCATGGCTTTCTTTCCCTTTCCCCACCATTCTCCTCCTCAAGGCAGCTGCCAAGATGACTAGTTTGCCTACCCTGAGGATTTTTCTTTAAAATTTAATAAAATTGTAAAATCTTCAAAAATAAAAAAGAACAGTTTCTGGAGCTGGCCATGCAACACCCCTGCCTGTGTGTGTAAAAGCTCCAGAGCCCCACGAGTAAGGCAGGCTTAGGTGTGAGCCATAGCATTTATACAGTCAGACAGGTATAGGAAGACCTCTTCACTGGGAGGTGGTGAGAGCCCTCTGAAGTCCACCTTCCCGGACTACATAGATGGGACTGGACTGCAAGATCTGTCAGGCCACCCAGGATCCCCAGATTTGTTCATATGTGGAGGGTTTGGGTGATAATGATGATAGCGCCTTTGCTGAGTGGGTGTCTTGGGGATGAACCTCTCCTGAGAATCTCCTGATATTTCCACTCTCAACCCCAAAAAGGAGGGGATAGCCCAACTGCCAGGCCAGGTCCTCAAACGAGGTGCCCTCTGTTGGGCTGCACACCCATCTTCATTTAGTTCAGATTCTTGGCTTCTGCTCACAGCTGAGGACTCAGCTGATAGAGGTGCAGTGCTCTGTTGACGTGGGGAGGGTCTGAGGAACATTTGCCGCTTTACGCTCCACAATTCTCACGTTTTGTGCATCTGCCAGTTCTCATATCTGCCCCCGCCACCTTTTGGGTTTTTTTTGGGTTTTTTTTGTTTCTTGAGGCAGAGTCTCCCTGACCAGGCTGCCTTTTTGGTCTTTTTGAGACAGGGTTTCCCTGTAGCCCCAGCTGGCCTGGAACTCACCATGTAGACTAGGCTGCCCTTGATCTCACAGAGATCCAGCCGCCTGCCTCTGCTGCCTGAGTGCAGTGACTAAAAAACATGCACCACCACGCCCAGCTTTGCTTTGGTTGAATTAGTTTTTAAGATGGGAATTTCACTGTCTTGCCCAAGCTGGTTTTGCACTCCTGGGCTTAAAGCAGTCCCCTGCCTCAGTATCAGAAATAGCTGCAATACCTAGCAACTGTAGTTTGGTTTGATTTTTTTATTCTATTGATTTATTTTGTGTGCATGTGTGTGTGCATGTGTATGCACACTGCCTGCTGCTGCACACATGTAGAAGTCAGAAGACAACTTGTAGGAGTTGGTTCTCCCCTTTTTACCTTGTGGGGTCCTGGGGATCGAACTCAGGTCATCAGGCTTCCCAGCAGGAACGTGTATCCACTGAGCCGTCTCACTGGCCCCACAACAACTGTTTTTTAAAGATATAATTTGCCTATTGTGAAAATCACTTGTGTAGGTTATATAATTCTGTGATTTTTTTTTTTTTAGTATTTTCACAGAGTTGTGAAACCACCTCACTTATTTTACCACCCCAGCCCTCAAAAGAAACCCAGTGCCCTTCAGCCATCACCTCTGAGCCCTGTTTCTGGCAGCCTTTGTCCACCACTCATCTGCCTTCTCCACAGACCGGCCTGCTCTGACATTTCATAAGGATGAGCCCGCCTACTGCTGCTCTTTTGTCTTTTGTGTCTGGCTTTCTTCTGCTTAGCGTGTTCTCAAAGTGTATCCAAGTTGGAAAGTGCCTTTTAGAAGAAGGAAAAAGGGTAGCTTCATTTTTATTGGTAAGAAGCTGTTGTGGGCTGGAGAGATGGCTCAGCGGTTCAGAACACTGACTGTTCTTGCAGAAGACCGGGGTTCGAATCCCAACACCCACACAGCAGCTAACAACTGTCTGTGACTCCAGGGAATCCAACAGCCTCTTCTGTCTTCCTCAGGTATTGCATGACACTGGCGCACTTATCTACATGCAGGCAATACACATATACACATAAAATAAAAATAATAAAATTTAAAAAAATAAAAGAAGCTGTTGTGTGTCACCTGTGTGAAAGGCCTTCTCCCCACGTACAGTCAGAATGATATGAGAACCATTGATTTTTCCCAAAGGAGTCAAGGATAAGATGTATACAAAGGTTCAGCCTCTGTCATTGCAGGAGGCTTGTTCTCACCTAGAATGGCACAGAGTGCTTCAGGGGGTGGGGACAACCTTTGGATAAGGCTGGGAGGTTGAACAATCTGAGAGTAAGAAGTCCTGCTGGACGAAGACAGGACCTGTTCACATTCCAGAGTATGCCATTTTATGCCTGAGTAATGTTCCTTTGGTTGATAATTCAGTCTTTTGTCCATTCATCACTGGTGGATCGCTAGGGATTGCTCACTTGGGGCTCTTAGGAATAAGGTTTATCTGCCCCTTAAACACATTTTTCAGGACAGCTTTCTGTTCTGAGGCTATTCTCACAGCCACTTCTGGAAATCCTCAGAGCCCCTCTCAGAGCTTTGATAGGGTCAAGGTGGGTGGTTTGCCAGTTACCCTACTGGCCTTAAGACTCTGGGGTTTTTCTGTTTTGTTTTGTTTTTTGTCTTTTGAGACAGGATCTCCGTGTAGCACCAGCAGTCCTGGAACCCACTATGTAGACCAGGCTGACCTTCAACTCACAGAAATCTGCCTGCCTCTGCCTCCCAAGTGCTGGGACTAAAGGCATGCACCAAGGACTCAGTGTTTTGATTGATTATCTCCATCTCTCCACATAAGTCTGACTTGACTATAGGCTCCTTGGGCATTGTTCTCTGTTCTCTCCAGACCCCTGAGGAGCCTAAAAGTAACTGCTGGTCCCCAGGCCCAACCAGCTCCACCTTACCTTTGCTGCCCTCTTGTCAGCTTGTACCTTGTAAAGTAAGGCTCCTACCAGTCTGCTGGCCCTGCCTCAGCAGCTATGGACCTGCAGGTCCAGGCTTGCACTCACTGACATGCTTGACAGAGCCTCCTCCCAGGTGCTGATGTGGCTGCCTTCTGGAATGATGTGCTTCTAGGCTGTGCTTCTAGGACTGCCGACAGCAGGGGGCATCTTCATGTGTTCTGGTTTCTCCTACTGAGGGGCCTTCAGGCCTCTGCACCATTTCTCCTGAGCCTTTTAAGCCGTGGAGTTCTTTGTATAATTTGCATAGGTACCGTTCTTGAGTGATCAGTGATGTGGGCCCCAAATAGCATTTTCAGCCTTTTACTTTTTTGTTTTCCTTTTTGTTGTTTTGTTTTTGTGTTTTGAGATAGGGTCCCATGTAACCCAGACTGGTCTTGAACTCCTGATCCTACATCTGCCTTACAAGTCCTGAAATTATAGGCAGGTGCCACTGCATCCTGCTCTGGGGTCTGCTTTTAGAATAGTTTATTGAGGGGGCTGGAGAGATGGCTCAGCAGTTAAGAACACTGGTTGTTCTTGCAGAAGACCTGGTTTCAAATCCCAGCACCCACATGGCAGCTAACAGCTGTTTGTAACTCCAGTTCCAGGGGATCCTACAGCTTCTTCTGTCCTCCACAGGCATTGCGCAATAGGGGTGCACGTACCTACATGCAGGTAATACACTCATACACATCTAATTGGCAAGAAGACCATATTCTGTTTTTCTGTAAGCTTTGTAGTTTAATCAAAGCCTTTTTTTTAGGTTATTAATCCATGGGGTTTGAAATGTGTGTGTGTACAATAGGGTACAGTCCTCCTCCCAGGTAGATTTCCACCTGCTCTGTCCCCTGCTGAAGAGCTGCCCTTCCTGCTGCCCACAGTACCATCTCTGCCTCTTTACCACCCTTCAGTGGACTCTGTCTCAGTTCTTAGTGGTTTGTGGTGCTCATATGGGTCCCACACTGGTACCATAATGTCTTAATTACTTTGGCTTAATAGATTTTTCTTGTTTTGTTTTGGTTTTTGCTTTAAAGAGTCAAGTCTAGGGCTACAGAGATGGCTCAGAGGGTGAAGCACTTGCCCAGTGCTCATGCAAGCACGAGAACCTGAGGTCAGATCCCCAGAACACACACAAATCCAGGCACAGTGCTTTAATGTGGGGTAGACGACGAGTGCGCGAAGCCCTGGGCACTGTGAGGCCAGCTAGCCTGGCCTATGCAGTGGCAAACAAGAAACCGTCACAAACAAAGTAAAAGGTGAGGACCAACACCGAGGCTTTCATCTGACCTTCACATGAGTTCTGTGGCACATGAATGCCATGCACGAGCATGTACACACACGCACTACACAAAGGTTTAAAACAACCAATTTACTGAGGTGAAATGTAGTAGTTGTACACACTCCCAGGTGTGCTGCTCAGCTCACCCACATGCCCCCCAGCCACCAACCCAGCTTCAACGCTGCGAATGAGAGGTCTCACAGTGGAGGTACCACTAATGGAGCCAGACAGCATGTGCTAGTGTGTGTCTGGTTTCTTCATGTGACAGCTAAGATTCGTTCATGCTGCTGCTTGTTCAGTGTTCATCACACTGAGTGGCTCCACCCTGTCAGTGGTCATGTGTATGCAGGTCTGTGTGGTCACATGTTTCTCTTCCGTGAGTGTCTGCAGTTACTGCTGAGTTGTGCTAAGAGTGGCTGCAGCTCTACACACCCAGCAGCAGTGTACAAGGGTGTGTCTTGCCTGCCCCCATGGGCAGCCTTCCAGATTGTACCATCCTGGAGGAGTGTGAAGCACTCTCACTATGGTGAGAACTGTGTACCTAGACAACACTGGAGCTGTTCATCCTTGTCCTGCTTTTCTACCCTTGGTGTTCCCAGTCTTGTGAAGTGGGCATTTTCTCTATTGTTGGTTGTTTAGGTTGGTTTTTTGCTTTTTTTAAAATCATTTTTATTTAATGTGTATGAGTGTATTGCCTGCATGTATAAAAGAGTACCTGTATTGTGCAACACCCACAGAAGTCAGAACAGGGTGTCAGACCCCCTGGAACTGAGTTATGGACAGTTTGTTAACAGCCATGAGGATGCTGGGAACTGAACCCAGGTCCTCTGCAAGAGCAGCCAGTGCTCTTAACCACTGAGCCATCTCTCCATTGCCTTTGAAGAAGGAAATACTCTAGTTCTGTTGTCAACTTCTTTTTTATCTACCTTTCTGTTCTTCAAAACGTTTGTAGGCTATCCTTTTTAAGATCTGGATGTTTAAAGCTGCTACTTTGTGTGGTATGAGGTCATAGCCAGACCCTACCAGCACCCCATCATCTGCAAAGACAGCCCTGCTTCATACCATGTATTGAAAAGACCCCCAAAACTCAGTTTTTATGTAGCTCTCTTACCTTAAACTTCCCGGTAGTTTTCAGTGTATTGGACTTGCATGTATTTTGTTAGATCTATCCCTAGTTTGTAGTTGTGTACATTATTATTATAAGTGATTTTTCAAGCTCCAGTTATCTGTTCTGATACAAAGAAACACAGCTGACTTGTTTAGTGATCTTGCTTTGTTTTAGGTTTTGGTAGTTTGGGCTTCTCTTCTGTCACTGCCCAGAGCTTTCTGAGTGTGACCTTGAGGAGCTAGCACTGGGGTTTCCCGCTGATTTTCTCCCGTGTTTCATCTTCTCCACTGCTGCCTTCCTTTTTTTTTTTTTTTTTTTTTTTTTGAGACAGGGTCTCTCTGTAGCCCCAGCTGTCCTGGAACTCGCTATGTAGACCAGGCTGGCCTTGAGCTCACAAAGATCTGCCTGCCTCTGCCTCCTGAGTGCTGGGACTAAAGGCATGCGCCACCGCACCCGGCTTGTTGCCTTCCTTTTCATCTTTGCATTTACTTTGTTGTTTTCTAGCTCTGTCAGTTGTGAAGTTAGATTGCCAGACTTGAGCTCCTTGTTTTAGAGTTACCAGATCCCCCTTAGTGCTGTTATCATGGTAACCTATAAGTGTTCTATGTGTTATGATTTTATTCATCTCTGAATATTTTATTTCCTTTGAATTTTTTTTCTTCCTGGGCCACCTGATTTTCTGTCTCTCTATTCTGCCTCAGTTTCCATTATATCCCTTTGCCTTGATCCTATCTTTCTCTCTCTCCAGGCAGGCTTGATTGAGTATATATATTTCCTACTGTCCATCCCCAAGTCTTCAACTTTGTCTGTTCTCATGGCCTTGACATGAATTTACAGTTTTAGTTCCTGGAGGTTGATTTGACCCTCGTTAGTAGGTTCTGCTGCTGTGCTGAAGTTGTCTGTGATAGCTCCGTTACTCCAGGAGGCAGCTGCACATATTTCTGTTTGCACGTTTTCTTTTGACCTTATCGCCTAGTGCCCCCCCCCCTTAATTCTAGATGTTACGCATGAGAAGCCGTAGAGATGAACTGAGACATTGTATGTTCCTTTATCACAGAGCCGTTCTTGTGTTTCCCATTTGGGGTAGTGAGTGGCCTGATTTGAACTAGACTTGCTGGTCTGTTTCTGCTTAGTCTTCCCTCCAGCTCTTGGTGGGATGTTATAGTAGAAGCCAGAGTATTTTCTATACTTCTAGATAGGCTCTGAATAAAAAAAAACCCCGTTTGTTCACCCTGGGCCAACAGATAGTCTGAGGCGGGGAGGGGGCGTGCCACCTTTGCCCCCCTTCCTCCCTGGTTCCCTTAAATAGACTTGAGATTTTGTTTTAATTTTTCAATTTTTATTATTTCTTTTAATTATGTATATATTGTGTGTGTGAGTTTGTGCCTGTGGATGCAAAGCTAGATAGAGTTCCAGGCTGCTGGGAGCAGACTGACATGGGTTGCTAGGATCACCACGTCCACTTTATGCAGGGATGGAGATCAAACCCAGGACTTCATACATGCTGAACAAGCACTCTTCCAAATGGGCCATAGCCTCAGCCCTTAA